GATAATGATAATGATAATGATAATGATAATGATAATGATAATGATAATGATAATGATAATGATAATGATAATGATAATGATAATGATAATGATAATGATAATGATAATGATAATGATAATGATAATGATAATGATAATGATAATGATAATGATAATGATAATGATAATGATAATGATAATGATAATGATAATGATAATGATAATGATAATGATAATGATAATGATAATGATAATGATAATGATAATGATAATGATAATGATAGTGATAATGATAATGATAATGATAATGATAATGATAATGATAATGATAATGATAATGATAATGATAATGATAATGATAATGATAATGATAATGATAATGATAATGATAATGATAATGATAATGATAATGATAATGATAATGATAATGATAATGATAATGAAGTTATAATGATAATGATAATGATAATAATAATGGTAATGATACTGATAATAATAATGATAATGATAATGATAATGGTAATGATAATGATAATGATAATGATAATGATAATGATAATGATAATGATAATGATAATGATAATGATAATGATAATGATAATGATAATGATAATGATAATGATAATGATAATGATAATGATAATGATAATGATAATGATAATGATAATGATAATGATAATGATAATGATAATGATAATGATAATGATAATGATAATGATAATGATAATGATAATGATAATGATAATGATAATGATAATGATAATGATAATGATAATGATAATGATAATGAAGTTATAATGATAATGATAATGATAATGATATGATAATGATAATGATAATGATAATGATAATGATAATGATAATGATAATGATAATGATAATGATAATGATATGATAATGATAATGATAATGATAATGAAGTTATAATGATAATGATAATGATAATAATATGGATAATGATAGTGATAATAATAATGATAATGATAATGATAATGGTAATGATAATGATAATGATAATGATAATGATAATGATAATGATAATGATAATGATAATGATAATGATAATGATAATGATAATGATAATGATAATGATAATGATAATGATAATGATAATGATAATGATAATGATAATGATAATGATAATGATAATGATAATGATAATGATATGATAATGATAATGATAATGATAATGATAATGATAATGATAATGATAATGATAATGATAATGATAATGATAATGATAATGATAATGATAATGATAATGATAATGATAATGATAATGATAATGATAATGATAATGATAATGATAATGATAATGATAATGATAATGATAATGATAATGATAATGATAATGATAATGATAATGATAATGATAATGATAATGATAATGATAATGATAATGATAATGATAATGATAATGATAATGATAATGATAATGATAATGATAATGATAATGATAATGATAATGATAATGGTAATAGACAATGATAATGATAATAATAATGATAATGATAACGATAATGATAATGATAATGGTAATGGATAATGTAATGATAATGATAATGATAATGATAATGATAATGATAATGATAATGATAATGATAATGATAATGATAATGATAATGATAATGATAATGATAATGATAATGATAATGATAATGATAATGATAATGATAATGATAATGATAATGATAATGATAATGATAATGATAATGATAATGATAATGATAATGATAATGATAATGATAATGATAAATCCGAGATGTTCATTTTCTTGTGTTCTAACTTGTGGACAATTAGACAAACGGACATCTGTCTGAAAACAGTTTTTTTATGCTTCCCTACTACTGAGAAGGGTGAAAACTCAACATTCGAGATTTGGTGCAATCACATAACCTCCCTTATTCTTTGCAATGCGTATCATGTAACCAAAACTAATTTAACATTTATTAGATAAAAAATTTAGCGTTCAAGCGGTTGTGTGTACATAAGAAATATTTCGAATTTGATTTTCGGTTCATTAGCTTAATTTTTTGTGAAGAAGTATAAGGAAAATAATCGTATGGGAAAAAATTATTATCTTAAATATTTATATCTGATTATAAATTTTTCCTGAATTGGTTTGTTTTCATTTTTTTCAAGAACCTTATAGGGGCTTGTCCGGATCTGATATAAACGCCTTCGGCGTATTGGAAAGAGGGAAGAAATAGGATTAAAAGCCTCGAGGCTGTTAAAGCTACAACAATGAATTGTTCAGAAATATGTTTTTTAATTGAAAGAATTTCTCTAAGGTATGCCAATGATTAGTGTCAAATGTACTCAAATTTTAGTTTAAAATCTGATCATTTTTCTAAAAAAATTAATTATATCAAAAATGTAAGATATAAAGATAAAATATTTTGTTTTAATATCTTTGAGGAGGGTGGAGTTTCGATTATTAGAACTGATATTGTTGGGCAACAGATACTCTCAATTTTAATGTGTCTTGTAATCTTTGTCAGATTGGTGGTGTATCCAATAACTCTTGAAAATGTAATTGGACTAACGGGAGATATTGTTGTTAATTCATTATTGTTTATAAGGCTTAACGAATCTGCGATAATTTCTAATATTTTCGCTTGTCATTCGGCCGATGTTTTCCTGTCTGGAAAGAATTTTTCCATTGATGAAGTTTTCAAAAGGATTGTGAATGAAATTAATTGCTTTGATCTGAGTAATCTTTTTTGGGCTGATTCTTTGGCATTTAATTTCTTTAAAGCATGGAGAAAATATGTTAATACTAGGAGTTCGGAATCCTATTCTGTTATCGTAAATTTATTTGATTTATTTAAACATTCATGCAAAAATTATTTGTCAAATTGCTCTTTCGAATTTAAGCAAAATCCCAAGCCCTTTCGGAAATTTGTTAATTTTAAAAGAAAATCTGATCAATGTTTGAAAAATTTTTCTCTAGTGCTTACTCAAATAATCTTTTCAATGTAAACCCTCAAAATTTCGAATACTTTCCTAACTACATTCGTCGACCCCTACCAGAAATAGGTCTTTCGTCAGCTTAAGTTTGCTTTTATTTGGAAACCGTAAACAATGATTGCTTTTCGGAACCGCATAATATCACCAAAATTGTTTTGAAGCAATGTTCTTCTATTTCATCAAAACCAATTTCAACCTTATTCTAACCTTATTGATCCTTAAGCTATTTCTTAAATAAAGATTTACTTAAGCGAGTTAATTCTATTAAAGATCTAAGGATTTTATTTGACAATAAGTTGACTTTTAGACAACACTACGACGCCATGAATAATAAGCTAATTGAGTTTTAGGCTGTGTTTTTCAAAGAAGTTCAATAATCCCCACCTTATAAAATGCTTGTGTGTTTCGTTGGTTCGGCCACATCTTGAATATGCAAGTCAGGTTTGGTCTCCTTCTTACCGAGACCATATTAATAGATTGGAGGCAGTTAAAAAAAAAATTTTAAGGTACGCTTTTCGGAACTTTCAGTGGGAAAACCCTCTTATTCTCCCACGATTTCGAAACAGATTATTATTACTTCAAATGAAAACGCTAGAAAATCGAAAAATTGTTGGAGATATTTTGTTTATTTTACAGGTGTTTATGAGTCGCATAGGCTTTGAGTATGATAAAAATATCTTAGACTCTCACTTTCGGAATAATAAAATTTTTTGTCTGCCTTATCGTCACACAAATTATGGGAAGAACGAACCCATTTCTAGAATGTTAGCTGTTGTTGTCCAACTTAAGAACACCCTTTTCCAAAAATTACATTAGCTGTACAGTTTGTAAGGTCATTAGCTCTTGATATGATATTTAATACAGATGTAAATATCATATATAATATTTTATATATTTGAATAATTTACTGACCTACATTAATAATTTACTGGCTTTGCAATGCTTTTTTGTTTTTCTTAAGTATTTTTGAGTTAAACTTTTTACCAACAAAGCATCTTTTTATTTCATTATTTTTAAGTAAATATAAAATAATAATAATTTCTAATTAAGTTAAGTAGATGTACATACATAATTTAAGTTAAGTAATTATAAATGTTTGAACTAAGCATGAAAATAAATAACTAAATAAATAATAACAACAATTAAGTGATAATAATTCGGGTCCTGATAATGTGTCCCATTGGATTTTGATTGGCTACTTTTTTCTTTGATTGGCTACATTCTTATTGTAAGCCAAATTCTTATTGTACTGCGCAAATATGGTTTTCCGACATATATTACTATACGATGACTAATTTTGTGGATCTTGTTTATCTAAGGATCTATAAAAATAGATGCATAGTTTATCTAAGGATCTATAAAAATAGAGATAATGAAAAATGGATTGCATACTCTGAAAGATCATCCTTGGATACCTATGGAATTTTTCGTAAATCAAATTATTTACAGGCGACGAATTATTTTCCATTTCAAATAGCATAAAATGCCTAATTACAAAACATAAAAAGAAATTTTATGGATTGATTCATATATGTTTTACGCGACACTGCAGGGTTTAAGTCTGGCCTACAAGGTTTAAAGCTGTTAATATGTATAGAAAATCAAAATCCAAGATAATTTCTTAAAATAATTTTTAACATTTTATTCGTTTCCCGAATTTCATACAATAATTTTTGACGCATATCTGAAATTTTTACTATATGTATTTTATTTTATAATTTGGTATCGAGTTTAAATTTACTTATTTATTAATTTTTATCATGGCATTTACCAATCAAAACTACTTTGGATGAATAATTAAATATAAAAATTTCTACAGCATTTCTGTTTTCTTCTTTTTTTCAAGTAAAAAATTTTTTGTAGCCAATCTCTTTTTTCAATTTCAACATTTCATTAATCAACACGCTGCGAAGAGCAATTACTTTTTGAAAGAGAAACATATATGCATGCTATACACCTATGAATATGCCTGTATGAATTAATATTATTTATAATAGAATATTTCCACAAAAAAAATACATGCAACTTTTGTAAATACATATATCTTTTATATAAATTTAAATATAATAAATATATATACATATGTGTACATATATGTATATCGTATTGACAGCAAAATTGCTACACCAAGTAACTACATATTATTATTTATGTATTGTAGGTTATATGATATAAAAGATTTGTTAGCAATACTTATTTATACCCAGTGGTCGAAGTAGGATACTCAAAGTGGTGGGATGGTAAAAAAAAAAAATAAAAAAAAAAAGAAGTATTACTTTAGTTATTTTTTAAAAAAACAACTAAACAAAATTTACCAAACTTTGGAAGTAAACTAACGAAAATATTTTATATTCAAAATTAAATCAACTAAAAATTGAATAAAAAAGTGTGCAAATTGTTACCAAAGAAATGCATAGACTACTAAGTAGTAACGGAAATTTCATTAATAGAAAAAAATATTATACTTTACTATTTGAAATTGGTCTTATTTAAAATTACATATATTTAATTTTTTGTTAAAGAAATTTTAAAATTCATTAGAAAATTTTCTTAAATTTTAAAAAACATGTTTCGGAACGAATTTTTCTCTCCTATTAAGTAGTAGGATGGACTTCCAATTATTTAAAAGTACTGGGATGGCATCCCACTCCATCCCGCCTCACTTCGAGCACTGCTTATACCGACATTTTATGTTTACATATACAACAAACAAATTTTAAATTTTTATACTATAAGTGTAAAGCAAAATTGTAGCATACATTTCGTCTTTACAAATTTACTAATAGCTTATAGCGTCGTAACTTATGATGAGACAACAGACTTTTTATACCCTTCACGAATTTTCACTTTAGTGTGGAGTTTGTAACCACTTGAAGGAGTCGTCTCCGGTATGGACATACATACATATAATATTCTTGCTCAGCCTAAAATTCTGTGTCGACATTTAGACATTTCTGTCCATCCAACGTCTGTTCGCACGATAACTCAAAAACGAATAATGCAATCGACACCAAATTTTCACAAATTTTTTCAATACATTTATGTGAAAATTAGCTATAAAGTGAGGCTGTCGTAATATACTTCTCATACTGGCAAAAGCTGATATTGTCGGTCTTATCCCCCACGTTTTTTAAATTAATGCCAACTATGAATAAATTTTACACACACAATAGTGGAGATCATATCTTGGGTTTTTTTTTTGCTACAAACGACTAAATTAGAAGAATATTAAAAAATTAAAACAATTAAAAATACCTGATGTGGCCAGCATAGACCGACCGCAATGTGTATTATCTAGCTATGTGATACTGCTACAGAATATTATAGAAATGCCTGTTAAATATTTGTTTCAATTGTTAGGGCATCAGTAAACTTATAGTTACCATTCCTAGAAAAATGTAAATTTAGCTCTTAGTACAGTTTCGCATTGTGCTACCCAAATTCACTGAAATGCTCGTCAGTTAGTTTCGGTAACAGCTAGAATTCAAATATCAAATTCCAAGAAATTCCATCAATTCGCTCCGTAAATATGGGAAAAAAATGTAAAATCGGTCCTCAGATCAGTTTTCGACCCTTGATCTTTCCAAAAAATTTTATTGTTCATGGTTTTAATACGAAGAATTTACCTATTAAATTTCAATGAAATCGGATGATCATGTCTGCGAAAACTCCCAACTTTTGGAAGAAGTCAGCTGTCAGCGAAATATACATTTTTGCGTATATAAAAAGAAATAATCAACTGATTTCATCGAAATTTAATAATATTTAAATTCGAGGTGTGAAAAAAATGATCATATAAATTTTTTGGAAAAATCAGGGCTCGAAAACTGATTCGCGGGCCGATTTTACATTTTTCACCGTATCTACGGAAGAAATTGTTGGAATTTCTTGTAATTTGATATTTGAGTTCTAGTTCTTACCCAAACTATCTGACGAGCATTTCAGGAAATTCGGAAAGTACAAAGCGAAACTATACTAAGAACAAAATTTACTTGTTTTTAGGTATGTTAACTAAGAGCTTACTAATGTCCTAAAAATTGGAAGGAAGTATTTTATACACATTTTTATAATATTCTTTAACCCTTTTACTAATCTAGACAATACACATTGCTGTCAGTTATGTGCTGATCACATCAGATTTTGTTTTATTGTTTCTGTTATAATTCTTGTTTTTATATTATTTTTATAATATATTTGAAGATTAAATTATTTTGTATTACAAAATTACACCTGACTCTTAAAAGCTTAATTAGTTTCCAAAAATTGCGGCCCTTCATATTTTCCGCCGTTCCGCCTCTTTTAATATTTTGAACAATGTACAAAAAGCATTCTTAACATTCACTTGATTATTAAACAACATTTTTTACAAATCAATATAAAAAAGTAGTAGATATTACCAATTTTTATTTAATTCTGTACTTTTAATTAATTGATAACAGTTATTTAAAAGCGAAAGCAAAACATAGTAGTAGAAATTACAATAGATAATCATGAAATTTTGCAATTCATTCAAAATTTTTTGTTATCAAAAAAAAAGAAATCTGAAGTGGTCAGTACATAACCAACCGCAATGTGTATTGTCTAGTTAAGTGAAAGTATTACAGAATATTATAAAAATGCCTGTTAAATACTTTTTTCCAATTTTTGGGGCATTAGTAAGCTTATAGTTAACATACCTAGAAAAATGTAAATTTGGCTCTTAGTAGAGTTTCGCTTTGTGCTACCCAAATTCACTGAAATGCTCGCCAGTTAGTTTTGGTAACAACCGGACCTCAAATATCAAATGTCAAGAAATTCTACCAAGGCTCTCCGTAGATATGGTAAAAGATGTAAAATCGGCACTCAGATCAGTTTCCGAGCCCTGATCTTTTCAAAAAAATGTTTTCAAAAGATATCTACATATATGTTCATTGTTTTAATACGAAGAATTGAAATATTACATTTTAATTGAAATTTGATTAAATCGGTTGATTATTTCTCTTTATATACGCAAAAATGTAAATTTGGCCTGTACTAAACGTCCAGATGATGGCGCTTGATTTCTTCCAAAAGTTAGGAGTTTTCGCGGACAGTCGGGTGAAGCTTATATATGAAGTTTCAAGTAAATCTGTTGAATATTTTCTTGATAGTGATCAAAAATGTAAAACAGACGCGCTAGAAAGTTTAGTTCCCGAGGCCTAATAATATATCCCAAAAGTTGATCGATCTCTGCAATAGTCGAAATAAGCTAACATATAAAATTCCATCAAAATTCGGTTCTGCCGAACTTGAGATACACACGTGTCCACACAATCCGACTGACAGATGGATTGCTAAAAATAGTTTATTTACACTTCTCAACTATGAAGAAGTGCGTTTCCACCGAAAACTCGATATGCAAAATTTGTTGCCATCATATAGCTTACTTATTGTATTCACAATTCGTTCGGTAAAAAGATATTGGTATACATAATCCCAACATCAAGCTATGTGTTCCATTATTTAAGAATATTGCTCTCATTCTCTTTTTCTATTTTCTTTTTATTCCCATTCTACGTTTTGTTTTTTTTGTCTTGTTTCTTACTACTGCAATAGTATTAGAAAAAGTAATATATTAGAATAATGTGTTTGTTTGTTTGGTAAGTGGGCGAGAGCTCAGTAAAAATAAAATTTGGTATATATAAAACAATTTAAATATAATGTGTATGAACGAGTGCTGGCAGAGCGCAAACTCAGCGTAATACAAATTTTCCTTTGTGGTATAATCAAATGTGTAAGAGCGAGTGTTGATAGGGGGAAATCTCAGCAAAATGAAAATTTTGCTGCATGAGATAATTATATGTGTACGCATGAGTGTTCATCATGAATATGTATTATTAGACAATATAAATTATTATGTGTACACGTGTATTTTGGAATATTTTTAATTTTGGCGTGTCATGTTTCTTTTTTTATGAGACGCTTTTACTCATGTATTTGTACGATTGAATGTATACAGCTATTTGAAAGTATTATCTGTGTGTATAAGCATATACGAATTTATTCTACTATGCATTATACAAGTAATAATTAATAATTGTAATTCTGATGATTCATATCATAAAATATGAATGCTTTATTATATTATTAAAAATAAAATATTATGTTTTTACCTTGAAGAAGCAACGAAATTTCAAAATAATTAATATTTTTATTCTAACCTATTCTAAAAAGCTACAATTTGAAAAAACAATTATTTTACAGTATAAATTTAAGTTTAGGTTCAAATTAGTATATAAGTCTTATACAATGTAACTTTTTTCTTACAATTTTTTGAAATAAGTAATTTATTGATTTGATTGTCAGAGGAAAAATATAAATCGGGTTAATTTATGAAAATAACATTTTCCAATTCCCAAATCTTATTCCATTGGGTATACTTATAAGTAAGGAAATAAAATAGATTGCACGTTAAATTAAAAATTCGAAAAATAACGGGAGAAAGCTGCAAACGTGACCTCAAAATTATCTCAAAAACCTTATTTACAAATAAAAGGTGAGTGAAATATGAGGCGTACCTTCGAGAGAAGTCGACTGCAGTGCTACGAACCAGTATTGCGCCATAAGTAACATTTTCAGTTTCCAGCGAGCCAGTGATTTCGATGAGTATGGCTTCGGTGCCTGTGACGTTTGTGATCAACTATACAGCCAGCACATCGACAGTTATGGGCTTACCAAGCTAAATAAGCGAATATGAACTATGAGGACCTGAGAAACGACAAATGTTCCCAGATATCATTACTCTCCGACGAAAAGCGAGAGTATCGCGCTGATGAACCACCATTGCCGGAAAGGATTTAGATACCTTTGGAAAGGTGAAGATTAGTGGTACAAGTTTAAGCGATTGGTGGACTAAGGGGTAACTATATATGAGGCAAAGTTGATTCGCCCTTTTCAAGTCTAAAAAAGGAGCAGATGCAACAGTTCAGCGAAAAACTGCAAAAAGATCTAAAAAAATCCAAATTGGAGGTTGAACCAGAACACCGAACCACCCAGACATCAATATCATGGCACAGTAGAACACCCAAAATGGTAGTCAAAATCCACAGCCATACAAAACCAGACAACAAGGCAGCGAAAACCGGTGGCTTGATGAGGGACCAGTTGGCCGCAGTACGTAATAGGTCGGAAACAGGGTGAAAGCCTTTGGACTTCCGAGTTTCAAAGATATTTCAGGACTAAGAACTGATTAAAGGCAAGTCATTGGAAAGGAAGCGTTCGGACTTAACAATCTCGGTCGATATCTGTTTGCCGAATATGAATATGAAAATGCCTGAGTTGAACAATGTCATCAGTTATTGCATTTGTCGGGTGCAACTCTGCCAGCAAAGGAAGTAGGAAGACCGGAAGTTGGACAGTGGCATGCCCAACTAACAATGTTTATCTCATAAGACCCTTGTAGAGCTGTATTGAGAATTCTTAAAAAATATTATATTTATAATTTCAGTCTTGTAGAACACTAAAAGACCCCAGTGGAAGAAAAGAGCACAAGAGTTATTAATTCTTGCAAAGAGAGCTTCCATTTAAAGAGTTTTTAAAACATATAACTCTCATACCAAAACTAGTACGAGAGTTACGAAAACTCTCACAAGCCATTTATAATAGTGTTACTAGAAAGAGAAAGCAATATATTGTAGAATAAATATATCGGTCTTACTTCGAACTTTAACTTCGAAAAAATACATATATATGTATTCCTCTTTTAATAATTATTTTTTTAACAAAAATGAAACAAAATATACATGTGTTTACGTCTATGATATGTAATCAATAAATATTTGTATTCAAAAATTTAATATTATAAAATTATAAATATGGGAAATTAAAATAATTTTTTGTCATGATTATAAATCAAAAAGCTGCTGGCATTAAAATTTTATTGATAAAATTGATATTGTGCTTCGAAAAAAAGCAACGCCAACTAAAAATAATTAAACATTTAAAAATTTTTATACATATTTTTTAACTCTTTAATATTTTATTTCTAAATCTTGTTAGGGTTAAAATTTAGATAAGGAAAAATTACAATACTAAAATGGCCATGCCTAACAACTATACTTTTAAAACAATTCTTTTAAGAACAAAATTCTATAACAGTTGATATCTTTTAAAAAATACTTTATGAGAATTAAAATTTTTTATGGCTTCGTGAAAGAAGTTCTGCTATGAGAGTTGCAGAATTTTTAACACTACAAGTGCTAAGTCTTTATTGTAAGAACCTTACGAGAGTTGCATAAAAACAAAAAACAGAAAAAAAAATTATGAGAGTATTCGAGTGTTGTATGAAAGTTTTATGAGATTTTTTGTAAATTGTTTAAATTTTTTAGGGTATTACTCTTGGAAATTGTTACTTGGGAGGGTTCCCTGGAAACTGATTCAGTAGCGGTGAATGCTGGGTGGAAACACCAACCGAAAAGACTCCTGCGATTAATGTTTCGGATGGATGGATAGAAGCAGCGAGGAGATTTAATAAAGCTATTTAACTCTGTTTTAATTTATAATTAAAACTGCTTAATAAATTTCTTCTAACTCTGGAGTTAACTTGATGACAGTGAAGACCGTGGTACGACAAACTGGTGAAAGTCGGATTCTAATTTGTGCTTCTGGATACTTTATCGGAAAGCAGAACAGGGGACATAGAGAGGGCGTACAGAACGTTATGGATTACTGCCGGAGGAAAAGTAAAGGGCTTATAATGGGCTGTGATAATACAAATTTAAGAGGTGAGTACCTATTTGGATTCTTATTGCAAAATAACTTAGATATAGTTAATAGAAATAACGAACTCATCTTTATAAATGCAGTATGCAGGAAGATCTTAGATCTTATCTTATGTAGTTCATTCGTGACCTTCCAAATAAAAAAATGACATGTGCCTTAAAAAAATCCCTGTTTGATCACTTGCACATTGTTTTTAATATATCGGGTTGAGTGGAGGCAGCGGGGAGAGAGATGGGAGACAGGGAGAGGAAGCATATCTCGTATCGATCGGAACGATGCCGAGCTTGTCGAAATGAAGAAAAGTTAAAAGAAATTTTTCAATGATGCCAAGAGAACAAAATATAAAGGAGAAGTTCGGAGGTCTAACACAAAAACTGGGCGAGCCTTCTGCGTGGTGCAGGTGGTTCCGATAGTTGCAAGGCTGTTAATGCAATATTGTTTCTCTGAAGCACTTTCCCGATTGCAAGCTGTTAGGGTCAGGATCAAATCGAAATACTGACGGCCATTCAAGGAGGAACTGCGTAGTGAGAATTAGGATATGGGGTCTCTTCGGAAAACTCTTTGATCAGAAGAATATTTTTTGGGCTCGTTCTGCAATTTTCACAAGTTTTTCGGCGTTGATGGTATTTTTTTCCGCCATGCTTTTCGCCCAAGGAGTGCCGGTCAACGGCTTTACAAATTACACAGGTCAGTAAGTTTGTCTTCGTCCTTCTCAAATTAATGGAGAGGATGTTAGATGATAATATCGGTGCTACAGAGAAGTCGAAGTCGCTGGCCATGAATTGATGAATTCAAAAACTTTATGGGGCCCCCAGACAAGGTATGGAGAGAGCTGATCTCGTTAAGTCGTATAGAATTGATGTTCGTGCTTGAGGTACTCTCTGGATGTTGTCTCATCATGGTTTATCTGAAAAGGATTGGCAAGGTGGAGAGTGAGCTGTGTCGTTTACACTTGGAAAAGTGCGAGCCAGCTGAGCATCTACTATTTGAGTGTGAGGCTGCGGCTCAAATGCTTTCGACAGGGCTTTGTGACGCCTTCGGAAGTCTCACGACTTCAATAGTTAGATTTGTTATGAGCGTAGGAATAGTGCTTATGTAACTGGATCGGGAATCATAAAATGCAAAATATTTCACAATCTTTTACAGTGTAAAACTAAACTAAATTTGAATACATATAACTTAAGATTTAATTTTATTTTTAATTCATTTTGCTTTTATTTCTCACACAATTCATATTGTATGTTATAGTTGAGAAAAAGTTCTTCAATTTCATGATTAACTACTCGAAATTGACATGAAGTGAAATTTTAACATTCGTAATATAGTTCGGCAATTGTTTGGTACTCTACAATTAAATAAAATCAAATAATCCAAAGATAACGGGCGTGCTAATAACACAAAAACAATGACATTGCACATAAATAGGCGTATAAGCATGCATATGTACATGTCCAAAATATATTGTATATTTCTAATCACAACATAATATGTATACCTTAATTGGTATGCTAATTGCTCTAATCAATACTCCATTTGCTTTAGATTGCAGAAATTTAAATTATATACAGAATACAAAATATAATTTTGAAATTTATACTCATAATAATTTAATATAAAATTAATTAACTAGTTAACTAAGTTAAAAAATTATTCCTAAAACATTGTGATATTTTCAACATCATTTTTTGTAAAATATGCATGAAAAATCCAACTTTAAAAAGAAAACCGGTTGATACTGGAATAAGACAACGAGATGAAGCTCCATGGTGCATAGCAGCCGGATGTTCTCCTGCAACGATCACAAAGTTAAAAACTTTTGTAAAAAGGAATATTATTTGTGAGTGTAATATTTTGAAATCAAAATAGTGTACTTATACGTATACGTATACGAGCACTAGGGTTAAGATTTTTGCGGGTGATTCCTTAGAATATTTAGGAATAATATTGTTCACGTATTTTGGTTTCTTTTAATTCTAAAAGTTCAAACTGCTTATCTACATATACATAACATTTTATGTGGAAAAATTTAAAAACATTAATTTTATAATAAATATAAATAGGTATTATAATAATATAATACAAGGTGTCCGAGACTCGAAAGTGCACCCGAAATAGAGTTACAAAATGCTTTCAAACCAAAAAAACTTGCCCCTACTTGCCAGTGGTAAAAGTTGCTTTCAAAAACAAAACTTAAATGATTTTCAGAAATTCCAATTTTGACGCCTCACAATTCGTAAAGGAGGGCCCAAAGATCGAAATGTCTGTTGGTGTTTTTTATCCAGGAATATCCTTGAGTCATGTACACACTGTATAAACAAATATAAATATTACAATAATTACCGGTATTTAGGTCAACTAACTGAGTGTTCAATAGACATTGCTTGTCAGAATTTTTTCAATAATTTTTCTTTTTAACACTCCATTACTTTTTTTGTAAAAGAGCTTATTAAAGGTCTAATGATAAGATATGAACTGATTTTATACCGCTCGTATTTTAGGAGAGAAAAGCATTCAAAATTTGAAATAAAAAGTAATTTGTTTTATTTAAGCAAGACAAATAAGTAACTACAATAACATAATTAAGTAACTACAAGATTTTATTGGCAAGAGCGGGGAAATTTCCAAAAAACAAATATCCAAAAAGAAAAATATCGAAATGAGGCTCTCAGAAGGGATGTTCTTGCTCGAGGAACAACGACCTACCCCTGAAAGAAAAACACAAAACAAAAGTGCAAGAAAATTCATCAGCTCAACAAAATATATAATGACTGCAGAGATTATATATGCTTCCGGTAGCACAAAATTGGTACAGTAAAAAGTGATTTCACATTCATTTTAACGTTTTTTCTGATCTAAATGATGGTATATGGTAAAGAGCTTGTTGATGAATCATCCTGCCTGTTACAGTATGGAAAACAAATTCCACTTTAACGTAATAATTAAAATTATGTTTGATTTACCATCAACAATGTGAACTCTTACAGTTGCTGGATTCGCATTTGAAGGAGCACAAGTGTATCTTCCAGAATCTGCTTGTACAGCTTTTTGAACTAATAGACGACTTGTTGTTAAAGTACCCTTTTCTGTTACTAACGATATACCGCCTCTGGGTGAATCAAAATTTATAATCTAAAAAGTGTAATTAACAAGTTAAAAATTTATAAATTATTTTTAAAATAAAATTTTGTAAATTAAACAAAATTTATAATTTAAAAAATTAAAATTGACCAAATGCACCAAAAGTTCATGTTTTTACCTGACTATCATGCGACCATACAATAGATGGGGGAGGTTCCGGAGCATATCGGACTACACAAGTTAAATTAATTGTTGAACCTTTATTAATATGAAGCTCAGGTGCACCAACTATATTTGTGATAGGTTCTAATTTAAGAAAATAAAATATCTTCTTTATTTAGCACTAAAATTTTTTAGTAAGATAGCCTTACCTACAACACTTAAATAAACAGAATGTCCTATAGGTGGAGTTGTAGATATCTGGCATTCATACATTCCTGAATCTTTTCTTTGTGCATATCTTATTCTGAGTGTCCAATCTTCAGCATGCGGAGAGTGCATTGCTTCAAATCTTTGGTCTGAAGTGTAGGTGTAGCGGCCGACCGTTAATAAATGTATATCTCTATGACGAACCCACGATACCTACGGAAGTTTTGTGATGACTGAAAAAACTCAAATTCAGGAATTTAAAGTTCTTAATTCTAACAATTAAACTTTTCATCGTACGTCATAGAAAAAACTAGATAACATCAAAATTATAAAATCGCTTCATCTTTCAGCACGTAAATAGTGCTTTAAAATATAAAAATAATAAAGTAAAGACAGACGATATTATGATATTTTCTGTTTTATTCTACCAGAAGGCATGTGCTATTGATATTGTAATATCAATATTATACTCTTAATATTATGATATTAACAATCAATCACGGACACAGACGGAAGATTCAAGTTTTGTTGCTGAAATTTTTTTAAAGAAAATTTTGAAATTTGAAAATTTTCAAATTTGACTCTAATCAAATTCTCTGCTGACTTGTTTTCTTATTAAATACATCAAACAATTCAATTTTGAAAACTTTAAACTGAAACTGTTGTTGATGTAATGTATTTGTCACCAGAGTAGTCCAATGGACAAATGAAAATTGTAATTTTTCTGTGCTAACCCACATTTTCAGCAATTTTAATTAGTTTTAGACCCCAGCCTGTAAAAGCTTGAAATTTTCGGGCTTTTAGACATTAATAAATAGTTCATTTCGTTGGAAGAAAATTTTTTTCCATCTCCACCCCCTCTCCAGTTATCGCCTCTTGAAATTTGTAAAATCTGAATTTTTGACATCTTATATTTCCGAAACCGCAAACTTTTTCAAATTTCTATAAACGCAAAAAGATAACGGTAAATTCCATGACATTAAAAAATATAATTATTTTTCTTAACTCACACAATTAAACCTTAAAATCGAGCATTATGTTAACCCCATTTTAATACTTGCTTTAATATTAATACTTGCTTTATTTCAAAGACTGCATATATGCATCATCCTAAATATATGCAATCCTAAAAATAGTTTTGTACATGAATGAAAATAATTTTAATAGTGTGATAGGTATACATAGACTGTATTTAAAAGCAGAATTCACTTGTTGAAGGGAAAAGTGTTACAATACAAACCATTGGTTTGACCCAACCTTATTTTTTATTGACTTGCTCATGAAATAGCTAACGTTTAAAAAAATTTAAGTATTTTTACCAACCAATTATGGTTGTATTTTTTGATGAAAAAACACTAAAAAATTTAGTGAAAATTTGCAAGGTGGAGTCAAAAGTGGTGACGTATTGGAGGTTCTCATACCTGGCAAGATCTTGGAAAGAGAAACAGTCATTTAGTTACCAAGCTTTATTTGAAAGTGAACTGAAACGCGTGTCTCCAATTGTTCAAAAAATCGTTATATAAATGCAGCTATTATAAGTCTATGTGTTGTGTAACAACAATTATTTTGAATTCTATATTTTTTATTATTATTTTCTCATTTATTTAAATACAAAAATTGCTAAAATTCTAAATTTTTATAACTTAATATTAACGCACATGTACCTACAAACATTATATTTAGTTAATGTAAATATTTTCCTATACATAACTTTCTCACAATATTTTAGCAGTAGTCAAATTACGTATATTTTATTGGTTAATTTTACTTTAACTAAATTGGAAACCTATATGATACGTAAGTTAACATGGGAAAATTATGAAATTTAAAAATGTATAAAATTGCTTACTAGTCTATTACTGTGGGAAATAATTATTTTTAAGTAGTATAATTTTTGTATAAATAGATCAGATTTTTAATAAATAAATTCATTAACTTTAACTAGCTTTGAAATATTCGATTCTTGGCCCAAACACTCCCGCACCAGTCCTAGTGCAAATTTTCGACAATCAATGTACCAATTGCGCTAAGAATGCAACAAGAACTTTTTTCAATTAAACTGTCTAACACTATGTCTAAAGATGTTAATAAATATTTCATATCCGACTTTATATTGCATAGGGGCAATATTCAGTTTATCAAAACGTACATATGTAACATTCATATGCATTTTCAACTCCGCAAAGTCCGTCCATCCGCCGACTGTTAAGCCGTCCAGTTGAAAACGTAAAGAGCTAGAGACTTAAAACTTAGGTCAGACATATATTTTCACATCATATGCAACTTGTATGCAACTTGTTTGTTAAAATTTTAGGTTTTTGTTCACTTCGTCTGTTAATTAAATGAATAATATTAAATTTGTAAAGCCTTTGAATATTTTATCGTTTCCACAATTTTGTTTTATTTTCTTATATTTTTTATCGTAATGCCGATATACTTACGCATGTAAATATGTAGATATAAGTATGTTTTCTAGCACATAAGTACGTAAACATTACGATTTTTTATCATGCGACTTTTAATATATTTTAATATTATATTAAATAACAGAAAAATAATGCATCGTATCTATTATTTGGATGTTTTTTATTTTTTTCTGAAAGATTTGAGAAAAATCTGCAACACCCTTTTCTCAACTTCAATTTATGAATAACAGCAGCAAAAAAGAAGTTTAAAATGTATTCTTAATTCTCATAATATGTTATGTATTACGTATTCATATCAATAAGGTGTATATAATTTTTGCTGAACAACTTAAAAGCTTTCGCGTTAAATTTATTTTGTCATGAGTTGAGCAAGTCTGCTACGCAGCGCAAGTGATTATATATCATTAATTCTTAATGTTGTTATTACAAATATAATGTTGTTTGCTCGCTGAATTATCCAAACAAAGTTGTGTTTTCCCTTCTCGCAAGTGCATCAGCTACTTCATACCTCCTCGGCTACCTGTGGCTGCCTTAAGGAAGCCAAACACTACCGCAGAACATACCAGGAAGTCAGCGTTCCGATGGCATCCCGGCTTCCCGATATAATCAGTACCTCCTGTGCCCAATATACCCTTTCAAATCAAAACCTCAGCCTGACACACTCTCAGAAATGTTCCCCTAGCTTCGAAATATTCGATTCTTGGCCCAAACACTGCCGCACCAATTGCGCTAAGAAAATTTTTCTAACAGAAGATATCGATCTCTTACCTCGATTTTTATACTCTGCACTTCGTGAAGGATATATTATCTTTGGTATGGAGTTTGTAATTATTTGAAGGAGTCATCTCATTTGAACATCAACATTTGAAGGAGAAGTGGTGTAGACATATATATATATTCTTGCTCAGCGAAAAATTCTGCGTCGATTTAGACATGTCCGTCCGTCCGTCCGATCGCACGATAACTCAAAAACGAATAATACAGTCGACACCAAACTTTTACAAGTTTTTTCTTTTGTGCCAAGGACAAACCCTATTGTAATTGAACTAATTCGGACAACGGGTTCGGGTAGCTGCCATACAACTTCAAAAGCAAATTTTTTATATTCGGAAAAATAATAAAGTCAGATTTATGGAACTCGGCAGTCATGTGTCCAATTATAGGTCAAATGTATTTCTGAAGTTTTAGAGGAATTGCTTGACAGGTTCGGGTACCTGCCATACAACTCCAAAAGCAAATTTTTTATATTCGGAAAAATAATAAAGTCAGATTTATGAAACTTGGCAGTCGTATGTCCAATTATAGCTCAGACATATTTCTGAAGCTTTGGAGGAATCGCTTGACAGGTTCGAGTAGCTCCCATACAAATCCAAAAGTTTGTTCTAAATATTTGAAAAAATAATAAAGTCAAATTCATAAAACTTGGCAGTTGTATGTCCAGTTATAGGTCAGATATATTTCTGAAGTTTCATTAGAATTTTTTGACAGCTTCGGGTACTTGCCGTTCAACTCCAAAAGCTTATTTTAAATATTTGGAAAAATAATAAAGGCAGATTCATGAAACCCGGCAGTCGTGTGTCCAATTATAGGTCAGACATATTTCTGAAGTTTTGATGGAATTGCTTGGCAGGTTCAAGTACCTGAACACAACTCCAAAAGCTAATTTTAAATATTTGGAAAAATTATAAAGTCAGATTCATGAAACTTGGCAGTCAGCTGTCCAATCATAGGTCAGACATATCCGTGAAGTTTCTATAGAATGGTTTCATAGGTTCGAGTAATTGCTATACAATAGCGAAAGGTGCAGAGTATAATTAAATCGCTTTATACCAACTGAAACGTTTTTACTTGTTTTACTCCATTTTTTCCTAACCTCAAATTAGCAGCCTTAGCTGCCATTTCAAAAACGAAGTGCCAAAGGGTTACTCCCAAAATCAGCTCCATTACTTACAAAAAAAAATATTTATGATGTGTACAACAAAATAACAGGTGGAAATTAGACTAAAATCCAATAAAGTAAAAACGTTTCAGTCGGTATGAACCGATTGAATTATACCCTGCACCTTTCATTGTTGTATAGCAATTACTCAAACCTGTGAAACCATTCTATAGAAACTTCACGGATATGTCTGACCTATAACTGAACACACAACTACCAAGTTTCATGAATCTGACTTTATTATTTTTCCAAATATTTAAAATTAGCTTTTGTAGTTGTATGGCAGGTACCCGAAACTGCCAAGCAATTCCACTAAAACTTCGCAAGTATATCTGATCTATAATTGGACACACAACTGCCAAGTTTCATGAATCTAACTTTTTTATTTTTTCAAATATTTAAAGTAAGCTTTTGGACTTATATGGGAGCTACTCGAACCTGTCAAGCAATTCCACCAAAAGTTCAGAAATATCTTTGACCTATAATTGGACACACAACTGCCAAGTTTCATGAATCTTCCTTTATTATTTTTCCAAATATTTAAAATAAGCTTTTGGACTTGTATGGGGACCATTCGAACCTGTCAAGCAATTCCACCAAAACTTCAGAAATATCTTTGATCTATAATTGGACACACGACTGCCAAGTTTCATGAATCTGACTTTATTATTTTGCCGGATATAAAAAATTTGCTTTTGGAGTTGTATGGCAGCCACCCGAACCGGTGCAGCTATCTCATTAAAATTTTTAGAGCATATGTAGAATATAATTGGACACATGTATACAAAATTTTATATTTGTGCCTTTATTAGTTTTTGAAATATTTAAAATAAACTCTTTGAGTTGTATGGCATCTACCCGAACCCCTTGTCCCAATCGGTCTAATAACAATAGAGTTCGTCCTTGGCACAAAAGAAGGAACTTGTGAAAGTTTGGTGTCGATTGCATTATTCATTTTTGAGTTATCCATACCTCAGATGACTCCTTCAAGTAGTTACAAACTCCATACCAAAGTTAATATACCCTTCACGAAGTGCAGGATATAATAAAGTTGGGTCAAACCAATGGTTTGTGTTGTAGCACTTTTCTCTTCAACAAGTGAAAATACTGCTTTTAAATGCAGTGTATGTATATCCACCACACTATTAAAATTATTTTCATTCATAAACGAAACTAATTCTAGGATTGCATATATTTAGGATGAAAAATTTATGCAGTCTTTGAAATAAAGCAAAAATTAATATAAAGTGGATTTAACATAATGCTCGATTTTAAGGGTTAATTGTAGAAATAAGTTTTTAGTAAAGATTTATGTACGTATTAAATTTAAGCTTTCTATCTTCAAGGGTGTAGAAGTTTTGTAAACAGACACACGGACAAACGAACGGACGGACGGATGGACGACGGACGTACTGACGGACGGACAGAGTGAAACTAATAAGCACTTTTTTTCAAAAAATTTTTGGAAAATTGCTAATAAAATAAAAACCTGCTTTTTATTTTTATTTAATAACAAAATATTTTTTCAAAAAAGTCTGCTCGAAATAATCTTTTAAATTTAAGGGTCAAGTGGTGCCCACTTATGCAATACCTTATATCAAATAATTCTCGTTTAAAATTTAGGTTACGAAATATAACTAAAACATTTAAAATTACATTAAAACAAAATAGTGAAAAAACGTACATACCTAAAAATAATAGAAACCAAACTATAAAATCATATAATATAAGAAAAAGAACATAAGAACATTTAGTGAGTGTATAACTAAAATTTCTAATAACATGTAGCTGTGATTCTTTTGTTAAAAACTATATTAGTTTATATCTGCTTTGCTCGACCCATCTTCTATAGCAAGAAAAGGTGCTTAAATAAAAGTAGATAAAGACCAAAATCAAAAATCTCTACTTGATGAAGACGTTAAAAACTCATAAAGTGTCAGCAGAATGTTAATTACAAAATGCACGTTAATTATGAAATTGCTTATTAAATTCGATACAAAATTTAATGGTATAACAAAATTGCAGTCTCTTAGTTGTTTTCAATCCATCTTGGATATCAAAGTAGTTTTCCTTAAAATCAAGTACATACTACTATTTACATAGATGAAACTTTATGAAACAAACTAAAATATTATGTCGTATCTGGTATCTAAGTGCACTGCTGTATAAATACATTTACATGTGAATAAACAAAAGTTTTGTATGAAGATGATACTCAAACCTCATTAGGTTCCGAGTTACAAAGACTTAAAGTTAATCTGGAATGATTTTTTAACATTTTGAAATTTTCAGTATAACTCCGTTCCTGTTTCAAATGGGCGTATTATTAAAAGTAATTTGGAAGTCAGAAAACAAGGGCTTTCTTATAAATTAATAAGAAGAGATGAGTCCAGATTTCGGAATGCCAAAGCACAAAAAATTTTGTATTTCTAAATTTTCGTTTTTAAAAAACGTCAATTTCTTAAGTGAGGTAAAATAGCAGTTTTCTCTAATTTAAACGCACCTGGCAGACCTGTTAACTGATCTTTAACGTAGTATAGGAATTATATTTCTACCTCTTTTGGTTTAGGAATTATTTTTATCCAATTTATATAAAATTATTAAAATTTTGACAAAAAATATTATTGTTAATATTATGTAATTATGTTTTTGTAAAATAAAAATAAAAATTTTAAAATAAGTTTTAAATATCGCGACAAATATTTTTAATTTAGGAAAAATTCCCTTGACCCATCAAAGAATATTTGCAATAATTTTTTTTTAACTTTTTAAATATTTGTGCATCATAATTCTTAACATTTTCGTAACACTTATGTATTTAAATACTTACCGTTCTGTTTCCCAAATTCTTTACACGACAAACCAATTTAACAGTTTTTCCAACTAAACCAGTAATGTTTGATGGAACACTAGTATCAAATGACGGTCCACTAGTACCTGGTGTAGGAAGTTCTTGTAAAAAGTCAGTAAAAAACCTTTTTGATGCTCCTTCAAGCGATCCTATAACAAACAAAGTAATCCATGATTTACTAGAAACGAAAATTTTCAATACTTTTTCTTTTCACGAAACAAGCTATTATTATAACATTGTAATTTTATTTTATAGTTGATAACATTGATAATTGTTTATAAATGAATTATATTATGGTTAACAAAAGTTTAAGAAATTTTATTCCAAACTTTGTCAACTTTAAATAAATTTTTATTTTTTATTTTGTGAAGTTTTGGATATAATAACGAAATTGAGAATAACGAAAGTATGACATAATATTACTTTTGTCAAGGTTCTATAAACTGTTTATATAATTTTAATAAGTTGTTGAAGGCACCATGGCTTGTAACTAAAGCAATGCAAACAAACTTGTTTGTGAAGGCAAGTAATTAAATATTACTTTTGATTATTTCGAGAGAATTGAAAAAAATATTTTAAGCCACTAATTAAGTTTTTGTTTGTTGCCAGAAATATTTATGGTGAAAAATTTAGGACTCTACAATTAGCCAGGTTTTTTCACCAGTTATCTTCTTGTTTTACTTATTTTTTATTAAAAGCAGGGGAACTCTTGGTGTTTTACTAATTTTTTTCTTAAAAATAATTCACATATTTATTAACATCCCGGCGGCTTGGACCACGAAATATCCGCAGTAAGGTACGCTTGTGGTAAGAGTCCACTAAAATCCAAATGGAAATCCAGACGCGACGGACTCACAATGAGCGGCTCTCTGGTCTGCGACTGATCCCTGAGGGACGGCAGAAATTATATGTGCTGCCTTGCATGAGGGAACTATACTCAAAGGCTAGAAGAAGAAAACTCCGAAATAAAACAAAAAAATGCAATGAACAAAACGCAAGGATTGAATACCTCAGGTGGTAATCCAGTAATGCTGGAAAGTCCACACTCTTCGGAGGCTGGTCTCATGGATTCTGGGGGAGACGACTTATTGCATAATAGATCGGCGTTGATGGACCCATTTAGAAGGATATCAGGGGTCATGCGATCACCCCCATTGGTGATTGCAGAGAAAAATGGCAGAGATAAGGATGATAACTCTAAGAAAAAGTCGAATAAGTTTGCAGAAGACAAAAAGATGAAAATCCAAAAGGGCAGTATGAAAAGGCATCTTATACAGGAGAGTAAATTGGATACTCAGGACTCGAGATTAACCGAGTTAGAGAGTCTTTGTAAGGCGCTACAAAACGAGATCTGCAAATTGCAGGCAGGGAATGTAGATTTGAAAAATCAAATAAAATCTGCATCAACAAAAATGAAAAATAAAGATGCGGAAATTATTGTATATGAAACCGACGTGGAAAAACTAGCTAGAGAAACTGACTGGATTCTAAAACGGAATATTGCAAAGAAGCGAAAAATCGAAAAGTCTGCTGAAATAAATTCAGAGAGGACAGTTAAAAAAAATAATGAAACCAGCCCTAAAATTAAGGCTGAAAATCCAAAAAAGCACAAGCCTCCTCCGGTCATATTGAGCATGATTAATATTCTAACATAGTTAAGATATTAAAAGAAGAAAATGAAAATGAATACAAATTACTAACAAAAGCTATAAATAAGGCTAGACTGGAGTGGCACACGTATGAGAATAAACTAACAAGGCCAGTTAAAGTTATGGCTAGAAATCTGAATCCATCGTGTGACTCAGAGGATATGAAAGAGGAGCTCATTAGCAAAGGTTTTAACTGTCTAGATGTTGTAAATAAAATCAAAAGGAAAAAAGAAAATGGAAAATATATTTCAGTAAAACTTCCGCTCCTTATGCAATCTTTTGACCATTCGGAAGAGATAACCAAGACCTATAAAATAGAATTTCTACAGCACATGAAAGTAAAAATTGAAGCACATAAAAGTTTTGCACACCTAGCAAGGTGTTAAAGGAAGTATCATATTCATAAGCACTTCAAAGCACAACCCCATAAAAGAGGAAAATGAAGGAACATGAGAACAAAACCCCACAAATAAAAAGAACTGACGCAGACATTATGCAAATTATGCATAGTATGTTGATTAGAATTAACGAGATTTCTAAAAGATTATTAAAAATAGAAAATGCATACACTGAGCTGTATACGGGGACACCAAAGAAATTAAGAAAAGATGTGCGTAAATGAGGTACGTATAGTAACTTAGAATGCTAATGGTATTCTTAATAAGAAACAAGAATTGGAGGTCTTTCTCAAAACGAGAAATATAGATATTTGTTTGCTGTCGGAGGCTCATTTGACATATTATACGGGCCTTAAAATAAAAGGCTGTGATTGCTATAAAGCGATACATCCCAGCAATCAGCCAAGAGGAGGTAGTGCAATACTCATAAAAGAAAGTATAGAACATAATGAAGAGTTCAAGATAGAAACAACTTATATTAAGCTTATTTCGATAAAAATTAAATCGACTAAACAGAACTTTAGTATTGGTGCTGTACACTATCCACCAAATTCCAGCATTAAGAAAAATACTTTTAAAGATCTTCAGTACAAACATGAACTGCTTCTTCTTCTTCTGCCTCTTCGTTTTCGAATGTTGGCGATCTTTATACACGTATTATTTAAGTGATGTTGTTGACAATTTCTTTATATTTTTCTAGGTTGACAAGTTTCTCAAACCTGTCCAGTTTCTAATGTTTCTTAGCCATGATATTTGTTTTCTCCCGATTCCTCTTTTGCCTTGAATTTTGCCCTGTATTATGAGTTGTAATAGATGGTTTTTTGTGTTTCTCATAACATGTCCGAAGTATGCTGCTTTTCGGCGCTTGATGGTAGTAAGTAACTTACGCTCTTTGTTTATTTTTCTCAGCACTTCGGCATTGGACACCCTGTCTATCCAAGGAATTTTCAGAATTCTGCGATACAGCCACATTTCAAAAGCTTCGATTCTATTCATTTCGGCTACTTTCAGAGTCCATGTTTCCATTCCATACAACAAGACAAACGATACGTAACATTTCAAGAATCTGATCTTTAGTGCTATGTTTAGATCATGATTGGTGAGCACTTTTCTGTATTTAAGGAACATTGCTCCGGAAAATTCAATTCTACACCTTATCTCATCTGAAGAGTCCCAATTTTCATTAATCCAGTATCCGAGGTATTTAAACTTACTTACTCTTTCAAGTGCTTTATTATCTATAGAAAGTGTTGTATTATTCAAGATGTTTTTCCTACTTACCACCATGTATTTTGTTTTATCAATGTTAATATGAAGACCGAATTCTTAACTGTGGTGGTTAACTTGGTTTAACAAAGTTTGTAAATCTTCGATACTGCCAGCTATTAGCGTGGTATCATCTGCGTATCTAATGTTATTAGTGTTGATACCGTTAACCTTGATACCTTCTTCTACATAACTGGTTGCTTCTTTAAATATGTTCTCTGAGTACATGTTGAAAAGTAGAGGTGAAAGAATACAGCCTTGTCTAACACCTCTCAGAATCTCGATTTCTCGTGTTGTTTCTGCTTCTATTTTGATTTCAGCTGTTTGTTTCCAATATAATCGTTGGATGCAGTTTATTTCTTTCTGGTCGATGTTCATATTTTGTAAAATTTCGATTAGTTTATGGTGTTGTCGTGCTAAGCATTTTTGATAGATTCTATTTTGGATTATTTTTAGAAATATTTTTTATACTAGACTGATTAAGCTTATTAGCCTGTATTCTTCACACCGTTTTGCATTCCTTTTTTTTTGGTAAAGTAACAAAGATCGATTTTAGCCAATCTCTAGGGTATTCTCCAGTGTCATATATTTGATTGAATAATTTTACTAATTTTTGTAAATTTTCTTCATATATCAATTTTATTATTTCTGCTGGGATTTCATCAGGACGTGTTATTTTGTTTTCTTTCGTTGATTTGATTGCTTGTTCAATTTCGCTTTTCGTGATTGATTGACCTATTAGATTTGATGTTGCTAACTATGTCAAAGTCAATCTACTACCATCTGACAAGGGTCTTTTATGTATTCTTTCCAGACTCGTTTCTTTTCTTCTATATAGAATACGACCCTATTTTCCTTATTTACCAAACTAAATGAAGTCTTTTTTCAATAAATACCGGATGCCTCTTTCAATTTTTTATGAAGGTTAAAATCGTCGTGGACTTGTTGCAATCTTTCTATTTCTTTGCATTGTTGATTGAGCCATTCTTTTTTTGCACACCTAATTTTTCTTTGGATGGTTCCGTTTAACTGTTTGCATTTTACCGGATTTATATTTCTATATTTCGTGACAAAACTGACAGAACTGAATCAGTTTATCACTTCTTTCATTCCTGTCTCCTAAACAAAAACGACCGGCTACTCTCCTTGAGTGGAACCCACTTTGGCTTTGAAGTCACCTAATATGATATTTAATTTTTGTGGTTTAGTGAGTTTCATTAATTCGTCGATGTTATAGTAAAACTCTTCAATAACTTCATCATTTTTGTCTGCTGTTGGTGCGTATATTTGTATTAAATTGATGTTAACAGGATTTGCATTTAGCTTGAGCAGCATTGTTCTATAGGAATGCGGAATAAATGTTGAGACACATTTCGCAGCATGGCCTCTGATAATTATGCCTACCCCATTGCTGTGATTCCTATTTTGATTACCAGAATAGAAAACCGTTGCGTCATCTTTTTTGAGCTCGTCGGCATCTGGCCAGCGCATTTCACTTATACCGAGAATATTGATGTTTAACCTTGTCATTTCTAATATGGTATTATCAAGTTTTCCTGCCTCATATAAACTTTGAACATTCCATGTACCAATGTTTAATTTATTTTTTGTTTTACTTTCGGGGATTCTTAGCACCCTCGTTGCGCCAGAGACTAAGAGCCATTGATTTACTTGATTGTTCATAAAGATTTTCTTGGGAATGTTATTTCAGTGGTTTCCCGTTGCCGTCTGAAGCCCATGGCGTTGACAATTCACATGTTCATCCGCCTTTAGAATTAATTTTTTAACTCAAGGACAAGAGGTTGCCCCGCTAGTTAACACATTTGTATAGGGAAC